GAGGCTCAGAGAGGCAAATGACTTGTCCAAGATTCCACAGCTAGTAGGGGGCAGCTGTTCACAACCATATCATTTGCTTCTAGATACTGAGCTCTTAGCTACTTTCAAAATACTAGTACACTTTCTGTTTAATCTCCTATTTTCAGTTGGATAAGGGAACCTGGATAATCAGCAAAAGACTAGGTAACCCAGGCAGGAGGGCCATGAAGGAGGGGGTGGGACTGAATAGGACCCACCCCCCCTGAACTGAGTGCCCTGGAACAGGACTGTCCTCCATAAGCTGTCTCTGCCTCTGGTGTTATTTCAGCCATCGGCTAATACAAAGAATATCCTCTTTGTTTCTGGGATGAATGAATCAGAGCCAAGTGCCACCAGCCATGATGGTAGAGAGGGGAGAGTCAGTGTGTGCACATCGGGCAGGTCAAAGTTGGGACCTTCGTGGGGCAAGATATGTGTGTGTGTTCAGAGGGATCTTGGCTTCAACTTCATCATAAAACAGCATTTATATTAAAGGTGGAGACAGGGGAGGAAGAAGGAAGAAAAGATGGGTAGAAGGTAATCAGGCAATTATTTCACAGCTGTGACAGGTCCACTGAGTCAAGTGGGTTCATAAGTTTTTACTTAACTAAATTTTTCTAATCACAAAAATAATGTGTCAAGTTTTGAAACTTTAGAAAACACAGAGAAACATTCAGGACACAAAACCGCATGTGCATCTATGTGCACATACTAAGTTTTACAACCTAACATCATTTTGCACATCATGGCTTGTAACTTGGTTTTTTAACCGACGATAAGCCGTATGTATCTTTATTGCCATTACATGTTCTACTGCAACAACATTTTATGGCTCAAGAGTATCCTTTTTATAGATGCACCAAATCTATTAAAATTTTCAGACATTTAGATTGTTGCCAGTCTTTCACTATATGTAAATATCACATTGAATATCCATGTAGCTCAATTTTTGCAGGCATCACTGCTTATATTCTTAAAATAAATTGCTGCAAGTAGAATGACTGCATCAGAGTCCACTCAAATTTTAGGGTTTCGATAGCTACTGACAAATTGCTCCCAGAAATGTTATGCCCATCTGCCCCCCGTCCAGCCACGGGAGTGTGTGAAAGCGCAGTCTCGCTGCATTCTTGCAATTATGGGAGACAGAACCACTGAATGAAGTATGAGGCTGAGAATCAGCCAGCTCTATACCTGCTAGCTATGTGTGGCCTTAGGCGAGTTAGTTTAACCACTATTTTCTCATCTGGGTTCCTGTGAAGCTCACGGGAGATGCATCCAGAATGCTAGACAAAGAGCCTGGCCCATAGTAAGTGCTCAATAAACAAAAGCTCTTGTAGATTTACAGTTGTTCCTGCCCACCTCTGATGGATTATTTCTGGGAATGCACACACCAAGCCAAGGCTTCTGAAATCTCTCTCATAGCCAATACCTACTCCACCCTCCACGTCAGCCCTGAAGCGCTGCGGCTGCCACTGCTTCCCAGACGCCTTGGCTCTGTCCTTTCCCGCCCTCCCTTCTGTGCTGACTGAGGGCAAGGAGGCTCCTCAGGCCTCATGCATTACCATTTTGCTTTTTCCTGGTTGATTCTGTGGAGTGTTGCAGACCAGGGGAGAAACCTGTAAATGTGAGCCTACACTGCGTTTCTAAACCAAAATAATACTAATAGTAACCACAGCAACAGCTCTCACTTCTTGAGTGCCTACTAGGTCCCGGGCACCATGCCAAATGCTTTACATGGATTGTCCCCTTCCAGCTCACAACAGCCCCAAGAGGCTCCGAGACGGGAGGGGACATGCTCGGTGCCACACATATAGGAGGTGGCAGAGCTGGGATTGGACTCCCAGCCTGCCTGGCCTCAAAGTCTGTGCTCTTAGACCCTCTGCGTGCTGCTCTCGTCCACAGAGGAGGATTTAGTGGGGACTGTGTGTGTGCATGTATGTGTGTGTGTGTGTGTGCCAGCATGCCTGTGCACGTGTGAGGGCACACACGTGGGTGTGCCTTCATTACAGTAACGTTTAGTCAGGGCCCACTCTGTGCCAGGCACTGTGCAAGTTCCTGAGTATGTGATGGTGAACAAAAGAGAAGGGATCTCAGTCCTCTTAAAGCTTACTGGCTAGTGGGGAAGACCAGTAGTGAGGGAAGGATGGTAGGAGGGAATGGAATCACAGGTTAGGATTATGCCACGGAGCAGTAAGCAGGGCATAGTCACAGAGAGTAGCAGGCTAACACCCTGGACATTGGCAGCTCAGGGAGAGCCTCTCTGAGGGGGTGACATTGAAGTTGGTGTGTCCAGAAACTAGTCTGGAACAGGGAGACGGGACCACCATGCAAGGATAGAGTGGAGGGAGGGTCCTCTGGGGTGGAAGCAAACTCTGATGCCTGGAGGTGCTTTCTAGAAGGTTCTGGGGTTCTCAGCAGTGTCTGTGGGTGGCATGGGTGGTGCCTCTGGGTTTGCTTAGGACGCCAGAGAATAGCTAGCTATTTTCACCCTAAAAGGGCAGGGTGGGAAATGGAGACTTGCGCTCTCTGAACAGGACCTGGTCTTAGGACCAGAGGCCTCAGGAATGCTAGAGGCATGGATGGGACTAAGAGGCTGGGGCTACATGTTCAGAGTTGGAGTAGAGGGGATGGAAGCCTTTTGTATTCCTACTGAAAGAAAAATCCAGCCTGGGAGGGAGGGGGAGGGGCAAAATAGGAGAAAGGGATTAAGAGGTACAAGCTAGTGGGTACAAAATAAATAAGTTACAAGGATGTAATGTACAGCTCAGGGACTATAGTCGATATTTTATAGTAACTTTGTATGGAGTATAATCTCTAAAAATACACCTGAAACTAAAATAATACTGTAAGCCAATTATACTTTAATTTAAAAAAAAGACTAAAACCTCATCTACTTCAAGGCATCACAAGATAGGAGGTGGTTAACATTTCACAAACACTGCCTAGTATCACCTTGAAGGAAAAAAAAAAGAATGAGAAAAACCCAGCCTTGCCTAAGTGTCCCCAAAGAGCTCCTTGCCTGCTCTCCATTCATTAGTGTAGGTTGGGGTTTGAGAAGGCATCAGTCTTCCCTAGGGCTCCCTCTCATCTCCCAAGTAACTAAGAGGGGGATCTTGGGTAAGGAAGTGTCACCAGGGCCACTTTTAGCGGTGGCAACCGGGAGCCACTCCAGCGGTCCCCAGGATAGATGGCCGTGGTTGTTGGAAGCTGTTTGCCCAAGCAGCCTGGGAAAGAGGCCCACCAAAATCTAGGGTCTCTGCTCCACGGGACACGGCACCCAAGCCTGCTCTGGCCAGGTGCTTTCCCCAGGCCACCCAAGGCCCACCATTGGGTTGCTGTGAATTCAGGATTGGGCCACGTACTCCCAGCCAAACTGTGCTCTGGTGCACTCAGTGACCAAGTGTGACCTTGGCCAGAGGCACGCCACCCACTCCCCTTAACGTTTCACTCAGAGAATTCTGGAAGGGAAGCAGGTTTTTAAAATATTCAAAACACGCTGGGGCCTTGCCTTCCACTTTGCAAGCGTTCAAAACCTAGGTCCTATGTATGAGATCTGTAAAGCCAGTTCAGATGGAAACTGCCCAGTTATCAGAGGCTACACGTTGTTTCTCATTTGTGCTTAGGACATGTGCTGTACCCTCATTCAATAGGAAGCACAAACAGTGATTAGCCTAAGTCAGCTTAATCACTGTTTGTGCTACACAGCGCCCTGAATTGCTACTAGCCCGCAGATAGCAGTTTTCAAAAGTAACATCCATCCCCAGGAACAAATCTTCATATGTTTCCTTGCCCTTGGCTTCATTAAAAGTAGCCACCCTTCGCCCATCTCTCGTGAACGATGGGAAAAGTTGGGCAGAGTATCTGCTGTGTAGGTTAGGGCTCGTTTTGCTGCGGTGGTGGGTGGGACACTCCAGTATCACTGGGCTGACCTCTCAGGCAAAATCCAGGCAAATTGAACGTTCAGGGGCACTGGGAGAGGTGCAGGGGGAGGGGGAGGGGGCCTGAAAGCCACACCCACGCGCCCCCTGCATGATCTTGGATAGATAAGAACCTCCAGGCTTTAAGCACCATCTGCCAGAGTTTGCTCTCTCCCTCCGCCCCTCCTCCTGAGTGGGTGTTGAGAATGGGGAAAACACCCATCCATGTCATGGGCTGCACGAGACTCTTCGAGAACTCTGATTCAGCAGCTGAATTCGAACAGTGTCTCTGAGACCAAAGGAGACTCCATCCCCACTAGCTTGTCCACAAGAACTTTGCAAGAAGAAACTGAGTTGCTGCTTGACCTTAAGCATTTTGCTTTCGCAGGAAGAGGTTCAAGCAACCACTTCCCTACCCATCACTGATCCCTGCAGCTCAGATCCCTACTTGGCTAATCTGCTTGGCTAATTTGGTCCAGTCTGTTAACATCCCCATGCCCCAGACCTCTCTTGAAAGTGGGGTTTCAATCCCTAGAGTTGTGTGATGCAAGCAAGTATTAAACCCTTTGTAAAGTTCTGTGGAGTCCTCCTATTCGGTGTGTTCCAAGCACCAGCTATAAAATAAAGCCAAACAACGGCAACAAACAAACACCAATCACCTTGAACCAAGTAATTCTGCTTCTAGAAAAGTTTCCTTGAGGGGCTAGTTGGACAAGGGATGTACTGCCTTATGATGGGATACCTGCAGCCATTTAAAAAGCTGGTGTTGGCTCTATTCTTTGCTATGGGAGGATGTTTGCGATATTTTAATAATGCAAAGGCAACCTTGAAAACAATATGTGATGTGAAAACAATGCATACATGAATAGAAACAAATCTTAGAAAGAAGTACACGTAAAGGTAGACAATGGCAGTCTCTGGATACTATGCTTAGAGTGATTCTTTTTTACCTTTTCTACGTTTTTTTTCACATTCAAAAACAGTATATATTAACCAGAAATAAATTAAGCTGATTCCATTTTGAAAACAATACATAAACCTGTCTTCTAAATCTTTCCTTCCCAGATAGTGGCATGCCTCCAAATCAGTGGCGTTTCTCTTCTCAGTGGACAAAGCCACAGCCGGAAGTATCTTTTGCAAATGGTGCCGCCAGCTGCAGCTTGCGTGGATCTGGTCCCATGGCTATGGATCAGTATCCAGTGTCCCTGACCGGGAGCCCTTCCATTCAGCCTGGCGAGCTGAGGCATTTCTCCTCCCTCGCCAGCTCCAGCTCCCCAGAGCTTGGCTACCCTCATGCCTTTTCCACTGGGCACTCGGTTCCAGAGCCCCAGCCTGATGGGAAGTATGAGCCCCTCCTAAGCCTCCTCCAGCCAGAGAGATGCCTAACCCATCCTCAGGAATCTGCCTCGTGGGAGGATGGCAACTCTGCCCAGACGGCCGGAAGCATGGGATTGCTCTTCAACCTGCCTTCCGGCTCAGCCCACTGTAAGGAAATGCCTCCGAATACTTGGAGGATTGCCTCTGATTGGTTGTGGTTGAGAGTGAGTTGGCGTGAGATGGGATGCGAAGACTAATTGCTGCCACTCCAGCTACGGGGCTTCTGAGGGACAGAATGTTTTGCTTAAGTTCCATCTGTCTTCACTAGGCTGCGTCGGTAGCCACTGTTTAACGGCTAAAGGGTTGCATAGGTAGCCAGACAGATGCACTTGGCTCAGAGTATTCACCCTGGTCTGCTGACTTGGACTTACCCTAGAAAAATGGGCTGCTGCCTAAAATCTTAGGGTCCTGCATTCACCTCACTGTGAACTGCCAAATAATCCATTTGTAAGACAGAACTCAGGGATATACCTACAGGCTCAAAACTCTATCCTCCAAACAGGTTGGCAACTTGCAATAATGCCAGACTCCTAGGCAAGGACAAGGGCCATCTATACCATCCATCTGCTCCACACATTAAAATTCAAAGTGACTGTGGAGGCAGCCCCCTTGCTGCCTGGAGAGCGTCACGGTGCCTGACTGTCTGGGGCTTCTGCTCCCAGACCCACACCCCTCCACAAACGAAAGCATCCTTAAGGCTCATTCGCCATTTCATTTACTCACTCACCCGACAGATATTTAATCCTCTGGCTTTCTGTACCCTGGATGAATTTTCTTTCCAGCTCCCTGGTCCATACGTATCTGGTTCTAGTGTTCCATGCCTGAAAGAAATTGCTAGAAGCTGCTTTTACTTCCGAACTAAGTATATATATTACACAAAGGGCCTGTTCAGTCTAGCCCTACCCAGGTCAGGTGCTGTGCTCCATCCTAATGTCAAAAACCAATTTCCCATTAAAATACCACTCCATCATTCCCAGAGTTTGATTAGGAATGTACCTAAAGGGTAAATCATAAAAATGTCATGCTTGGGAAACCTATGAGAATTCCCACCCTAGTACTCTTTTTCAAAAATCTGCTCCTGCTGGATTCAGAGGGACAGATGAGGCCAACTGTGTATATATGCTTGTGCACACACACAGCAGAGCCCTGTCTCAACAGATGGTTAGAACACAGATGGCTCAAATCATCACCTCCCAAACATAACAAGCCCGTGCAGTTCAAATCCAATTCAGCAAAGATTTAGTGAGCATCTACTATATGCCAGGCACATCATGGCAAAGCCACCATGCAGGCATTATCCAATTCCCGAAAGTTCTAGACACATTCTCAAACAAATGTTGATCGCTAAAGTCTCAACTGCTGCCGACTCTTCAGACTCTCCTACTAATGCAGATATCTGTCCGATTAATTGGTGACCGATGGTCCAGGATCTGTTGAGGAAGTCAGTGACGCTTGATCAGAAACATTGCCTGTAAGATGGGAACAAAACCCAAAGGGCCTTCAAAACAGAAGCTTCTCTGTTTTGGTAGCAACTGATAAAATGTCAGGTGTCTATAAATTGAGGACCAGGCGATTTGGGGTTCCCTGGGGGGCTACTGGGCACTTTCTAACCCAGTCCCCGATTTCATTCCCAATCATGTTTTCTTCTTTCCTAGTTAAGAAAATCTATTTCCCCCCTGATGGTGGACCTGCCAGTGCCAGCCTTGCAGTTGAAAGTAAGTATCTGCTTCTGCCTTTGATAGCATGTCTCTGTATCCTGAGAACAAGCCTGTAGCATAAAAACCAGTATCTCCCACCCTCGACAGACAAATCAAGGCATTTTTATGGGTATCATGACATTTGTTTCTAGTTTTTGTTCCTGAGAATTGGGCTGCCCAAACCTTTTAGTCATGTCCAATTTTGTCATCATCGTGTAGATGTGGATAAAATCTTTTCATCATGGTCAATATGTTCTTTACAAATGTAGCAATTTCTCATTGAAATCTGCCCTCCTGAGGGAACATGATAGACTTCATGGTTCCCCAATGAAGAGGGAAGGTGCTAACTAGCCGTGTGGCTCCCAAGTACATCATTATAGTAACTGCTTCCCTTTAAGGAATAAAGAGCTGGTATTACAGCCTTAAAATTCCCTTTTAATACCAATAAAAAGACATTTTCACACTTGCTCTGTGAATAAAGTTTTTTCAGTAACTGAAAAAAAAAAAAAACCCCAGGATCTCCAGCAATTGAAATGACCCCCATTTCTATTTAGTATTTTCATCCCTAGAATAGGTTTCATTTTGGTCTCAAAGAGCCCGTGCACTTGGTATCTCGTAAAATGTTTTGCCCATTTTCTAATTTGGCTATAAAAGCAACTCTATTGAGTTCTCTGAGCTGGATTTAAGTGAGATAACCAAGGTGACGCAGGAAAATGAACAAATTCATGAGGGTTAGCCTGCTCTTTCCCAGATGTTCAGTTTTCAGCCTAGAACATAGGGCCACCCCGGGACTCTGCAGTCAGAGAAAATGCCACCTGATACCAAAGGCTAGGAGTCTGTCTGGGCCCACGCTCAATTTGAAAGTGATGCCAAATGAGGACAGTCTCAGGGGTTGACATGAGGATTTTCATGACCTGGTGTCGAATCCAGCTTCATTACTTACTAGCTTTAGGAACTTAGCTGTGTTTCTTCACCTGTCCATACCTCAGTGGCTTCATTTATAAAATGATGATTAAAATAATGCCCACCGGGCTTCCCTGGTGGCGCAGTGGCTGAGAGTCCGCCTGCCGATGCAGGGGACACGGGCAAAAACAAAAACAAAAAACAAAAAATAATGCCCACCTCGTCAGGCTTCTGTGAGGTTTAATTGAAATAATATATGTAAATGCTTAGAATTTACATTCTAATGGAAATCAGCTCCAGTGAGCCCGGCACAACACAAGGCAGCAAAAAGTGCCTTTTGGGAGGGCATCCTGTGTGTCTTCAGCTGTTCTCGTGCTGTGTGTTTGAGAGGCATCAAGGGAAGAGCTGCCACCACGGCCCCAGATCTCAGGCACTTTACAGTTTGGTGTGGAGTGGGGGTGAGCACGATATATAGGCCTCCCTAGGATGTCCGGTCCTTGAGGGCCGAAGCTTTGAGGGGTGAACCACCCCATCCTTAGCACCTGCGGCAGTGCCTGATGCAGAGGTCAGTACATATGTGTCAGATAAATGAGTGCACAGATGCTGGAAACAATAAAAGAACGTGGAAAAAGGAAATCGTAAAAATCTATCTGCCAATAGAGTACAAATTAATTTTGTTTGACAGCATTTTGTAAAACAGAAACAAACAAGCCGCAAATCACCCTCAGGGAGGAATTGGCGGTGCCCAAGTGAGGAGGTAGATTTAAGGTAGGATGGCTTTGTCAGGCTTCATGGAAGTCTCTGCCTGAGGGGATGAGCTCTGCTGGCCTTCTAATGAATGATAGCAGGGTTATCAAGACTCCTAAGTACTTGTTAAGAGTTTATACATTTAAAAATTATAAGCCTTAGAATTACTAAAAACTTGATGATTTCAGTTGTTCACAGGCCCAAATTAACAGCAACACCACCTGTGGGTGATGGCTGTGAGCCAGATCCCACACACTGCACCCCGCTCAGTCCCCACAACCACCTTGTGATACGTGTATGAGGACATCCTAGGTGCCTTATACAAGAGGTATCCAGTAAATAGAGATTGACTGACTGAATGAAGGAATGAATATGCCCATTTTATAGATGAGGGGACTGAGTCTCAAACAGGTGAAAGGCCTTACTTGCCTTAAGATCACACAGCAGCAAGCAACAGAGGTATTATCTCTCTGCTCTTGCAGTGCCCTACAATCATCAACATCGAAAATTACACTAAACATAAATTATCACAACAATTCCAACTTAAATCAAGTGTACAACAGTGAAGATTAGCAACTGGTATGGTTGTTTCACTGTATATGAGTTCACTGTCCATCTGTGGCCAGGACACTATCCTGGAATAAGAGGAGTGGGTGCAGAAGGCTTGGAAAGCATGCAAAGGAGCAGTATTACCTTGAGAAAGGGCCAAGGAGATGAGCCGTCCATGCGGAGAATAGTTGACAGGAGGTGGGGAATGGGTACCTGGCTATGCCAATAGCCCCCATCCCCACTGGCTAATCTGCAGCTGTGGCTTTGGGCAGAGGAGGCAGCAGGGCATGGGGATGGGGAAGTGGGGTGACTCCCTAGGTGGATAAAAGGACCAGGAAACCCCTTCAAAGCCCATGCTCTTAAGAGAGCACACTGCCAGTTTCCCCATCTTGCCTGATGCTGAGAACCACAGGGGAGCTCGTGAAAATGCCCAGATTCTGTGCCATCACTTCCTGGTTGGTAGCTTTAGCGTGGGACTTGGTCGCCTCTTTATATGTTTGATTCTTGATATATTTTATATTAACCTGATTTGGGGGGGGGGCTTGGTTTTTTGGGGGTTTTTTTTTTGTTTTTTGTTTTTGCCCACGCGGCTTGTGGGATCTTAGTTCCCTGACCAGGGATTAAACCCAGGTCCTGGCAGTGAACGCGCTGAGTCCTAACCACTGGACCACCAGGGAATTCCCATATATTAACCTGATTTTGAAGTGAGCTGGATGAACCTTTCAGGAAGGATTTTGGTAGTTCTGAAAGATTTCCTCTGTGAGACCCCAGATAAATATTTGTCAAAGGAAGGAAGGAAGGCCGAGTCCCCTCCTTCCCCTCCAATATGGCCTAGTCCCCTCATGCAGGTGTCCCACACCCATGAGGCAGAGACCTTGTGGAGAGAAGAGCGACCTGCTGGAAGGGTAGTTAGTTGGAGAGACCTTTCTGGAGGGGACTCCCCGAAACTGCGGTGCTGAAATTTTTAGTGAGTTTGATATTTTTAACCTGTACAAATAGACACTGATTCATTGTACATTTCTTCAGTTTTTACAGGTAATAATAATACTGACATTGCTATTTGCCAGACACGGTGCTCTTTTATTTACATACATAAATCTAATAGTGTATAAAACTGTCTTGGTCCCTGCTCCCCAGAGAGTTAATAGTCTAGTGGGGAAGGCAGACTCCACCAAAAAAACAATAAAGAAGACAAAACAAAATATTTGCAAGTTATGGTAAGTATGAAGGAAGCATACCAAGTGTTGAAATAGAGAAAGATGGAGGCCAACTTTGGATAAAGTGGTCAAGGGAGGCTTCTGTGTGGAAGTGGTGTGCAAGCAGGGACCCGAATGAAGGGAGGGATGGAGTGAGCTTTAGGAAGAGCTGGGGTGGAGATGGAGGGAGCTGCCCTGCCCAGGCCCGGAAGTGAGTGAGGAATGGGCCAGAGCCCAGCCTGGAGAGGTCGACTGGGGCCGGGTGACACAGGGCCTTCTGGGTCATGGTGGGAGGTTGGATTTTCTCTTCTAAGTGACTCAGTGAGCCATGGAAGGGTTTGAAGTGTAAGCCAATTTGCATTTATTTGTTTATTTTAAGTATTTTTTAAAATTTTATTTATTTTATTTATTTGTTTTTGGCTGCACTGGGTCTTCATTGCTGCGCTCGGGCTTTCTCTAGTTGCAGCGAGGGGGGCTACTCTTCCTTGTGGTGCGTGGGTTTCTCATTGCGGTGGCTTTTCTTGTTGTGGAGCAGAGGATCTAGGCGCGCGGGCTTCAGTAGTTGTGGCACGCAGGCTCAGTAGTTGTGGCTCACGGGCTCTAGAGCACAGGCTCAGTAGTTCTGGCTCACGGGCTCTAGAGCACAGGCTCAGTAGTTGTGGCTCGCGGGCTAGTTGGTCTGAGGCATGTGGGATCTTCCCGGACCAGGGCTCGAACCCGTGTCCCCCGCATTGGCAGGCGGATTCTTAACCACTGCGCCACCAGGAAAGCCCCCAATTTGCCCTTAATAAGGGCACAGAAGCCTGCTGTGGAGAGGATTGACTGGAGAAAGGGATGGGAACAAAGAGACCAGTTAGGAGGCCAGAAGCATAGGATGGTAGCCTGGATCAGATGGCAGCAGTGGAGGCCAAATGAAGTTAATGCATTTGAGATCTATTTGGGGGGTTTAGCTCTTCGGTTTCCTGCTTGAGCAACTGGGTGGTTACTGGTACATGTATGGAAATGAGGAAGATTGTAGGAGAACAAAACTGACCACGTTCAGTCTGGGTGCCTACAAGACATGCAAGCGGATATCCCCCTTCAACAGTTGTGTATGTAAGTGTGGAGCTCAAGAGGGGAGTCTGGATAAACTTCTGAGATTGTTCAGTATAAAATGACATTGAAAGCCGTTGAATGATCACCCAGGCAGAGAAGAGAGAAGGGCAGAAGACAGAGTCTTGGAGAGTGCCAATATTTACAAGTTGAGGACATGAGGATCCAGAAGATGATACTGAGAAGAAGCAGGCCCTGGGTGGGGGGAGAGCCAGGAGCGTGAGGTGTTACAGAAACTCAGAGAGGAGAAAGTTCCAGAGAGCATGATCAACTGTGGCAAAGGCTTCCGAGAGATCAAATAAGAGAAGACCAGGGAAATTTCTATTGGATGTGGCATCAAAGATTTTGATAACCTAGTTAAGAGCGGTATTCGTTAGAGCGTGTGGATGGAAGCCAGGTCGGGTGGGTTGAAGAGGGAATGGGAGATGAGAAAGTGGAGACAGTAAATGCCAGTAGCTTCTCGGAGTGCTTAGCGTTGAGCGGGGTGAACCGAAATAAGGTGGTAGCTACGGAGACCAGTGGACCGGAGTGGGTCTTTTTTTTAAAAGAAGGCCTATACAAAGACGGAGAGATGGATGACAGGAGGATGAGGATAAATTCGTGGTTGACGTCACTGAGAAGTTTTTTTTTTTATTTTTTACATCTTTATTGGGATATTATTGCTCTACAATGGTGTGTTAGTTTCTGCTCCACAACAAAGTGAATCAGTTATACATATGTTCCCATATCGCCTCCCTCTTGCGTCTCCCTCCCTCCCACCCTCCCTATCCCACCCCTCCAGGTGGTCACAAAGCACCAAGCTGATCTCCCTGTGCTATGCGGCTGCTTCCCACTAGCTAGCTGTTTTACATTTGGTTGTGTATATACGGCGGCCATGCCTCTCTCTGGCCATGCCTCTCTCGCGCTTTGTCACAGCTTACCCTTGCCCCTCCCCACACTGAGAAGTTTTGAAAGGGATGTGTGGAAGTGCTGACATTTGCTAAGAGGAGGGGACCTTCTGCCATTGAAAGCAGACAAAAGAAGGAGAATAAGGACACAGATGGAAGTAGATTTGCAGGCTTGTTTGTGGGGAGTCTGAAATGTACTAATTACACGATTTCTCTCTTCTCAGTCAACTATGAAGGCTGAGATCACCAGTTTTAGTGGAAACAGGCTTGGGTGACTTTTGCCAGTGCTGTTGGGTTAGTGTAATGCAGAGAAGGCAAATGGTGAGGCTCATCCAGGGTTGAGATTTTGACGAGTGAGTGCGATGGGTGGAGAAAGAGGAAAAGGAGTTGGGGTATTTTCAAGCGAGTGATTGTAACAAGGGACCATGGCATGTAAGCTACTCAAAGAAGGAAATGGAGGCAGATGGAAGGTGCCGGGTAGTGGAGGTTGATGGATTGGAGGATGAGCTTATACAAAATGCGGTGATAAGACTACGTAAGCCAATGACATTGGGTCATGGTGGTTGGAGAGCGGATGTTCGAAATTGAGATGGCAAGGATGCTACCTGTGTAGGCCATGACAAGGTCTAGCATGTGACCATGGCAAATGGCTGGCTGAAGTGGCATGAACTAAAGGTCATTAGAAGGTGAGGAGAATGACAAGAGCCATGGAAGTGAGGCAAAATAAGAACCACTAGCTCCCTACACCGCGGGTGCTGTTTTTATCCTCATTCACAGATGGGAACATGGAGCTTTAGGGAGGTTAAGTCACTTGCCCAAAGTCAAGGTAAGTGCCAGCGTCAGTTTCCTCTATCCTTGGTCTTACCCACTAAGCTAGGCTGCAGCATGACCCCACAATAATTCTACTCCCTATAAAGGCACTGCCTCTTTAACAAAATAAGAGCTAATATTTATTGAACATATTTGTGCCACACACTGTTCTAAGGGCTTTACATGTGTTTAACTCATGTAGGAGGTAGGTATCATTAGTATTCCCACTTACCAGATGAGGAAAGTGGGGCTCAGATAGGCTAGGTAACTTGCCCAAGGTCACACAGCTAGGAGTGGTGAGGTAGGTCAGGATTCAAACCTGGGCTCCTTGGACCCCAAGCTGGCTTCTTTCCTCATCATGCTTATCCTATTTTTCAGAAAGCCAGTCTCCAGAGAGAAGAAAAGATCTGTTCTTTTACTGAACTCCGGTTTAAAGAAGAGAATTCCTTTTTCGAAACCTGCTTATGGTTTTCTACTGGGAATCCAGAGGGTCTAGAGACATCGCCGTCCTTATCTGTTTCTGCCACAAAAGAGCACTGAGTCCAAAGCAAGTTTCTGTTCTCCCTGAAATTCTATACTTTTCCTTGGCACCTATGCCCCACGTTAGGTTTTTTTTTTTTTTAACTTTTAAAGCGTATAAGATGGTTAAAAGAGATGTTCCGTGGTGGGGAGCATAGAGGCTCACACCCCCTGCACCCACTGCCCTCCTACTTAGAAATCAGCCACCTTACCCTCCATCTTCCACATCAAGACTGACGGCGTGGTACCCGATGGGGTTGTCCCACTCTTCCAACTGAATAGAGGTTCCAGGGAACAGCCTGACGCTTTCTAGCCTTAACCAAACTATTTCCATCTTCCCTCTTGCCTCTACAAAAAGCAAAATGGAAATGGGGTGGGCAAGACCCACTGAGAGTGGCTGGAGTCTGAAAGAAAGCTGAAAAGGTCTCAGGCTGGGCCTGATGAACGATATAGTCACTCGGAAAATTTGATCCCTCAATTCTAAAAAAATGATTCCAAATAGAATGGCTGAGCAATCTGAGAAGTAACTTGCAAGTCGTTAGTAAGCAAACCACGCCATCCCAAGTGGCGCCTAGAGGAAGCTCTGTATCCAGAACATTTCTTGGATGAGTTGCAAGACTTGCTGGCTGCCTTCCCTCTGAGGAGGAGGTCATCTGCACCTGACAGCCTTCTGCAGGGGCCTGCCTGGCTGCCATGAACACGGAAGCTTTCCTGTAGCTCTTCCGCTGTTAGTGACATCGGGAAAATAGTAACTTTCTTTTCGGCACAGAACCGTTGGGGCCACCAGTGTGGATGCCCACGTGGGTCCAAGACTTGGTAGCAGGACTTCCCTGCAGATTGTTCCAGATGAAATGACAAATTTCTCCAAACTCCTTCATCTCTCCTTTATCTCTCCGATCTGATAGACATCTCATGGTCCGGTGTGAGCTCGGTACTTAGCCCTGACAACCCTGGAGGCCCCTGCCACCAGCGTTCCCCACGCACACCCCAGTTGCTCCCGTGTAACAGCTCAAAGGGTGAATAATCAAATGACATTTTTGGATTATGCTGTTCTTAATTCTAAATTCTTTCACATCCATGATCTCATGCAAACTTCTCAGCAACCCTGGGATTGACATGATTATCTTCACTTAATACATGTGGATACTGAGGCTTAGAGTTGGCCAATGACCTGCCCAAGGTCACACAGCCAGCGCTGGAACCCGGGTCTGATCTCAGGGCTCTTTTCTCTCCACCATAATATTTATCAAAGGTTACTGTCGGGGTGGCTCTTAGATATTTTGTTCTCTCATCTGCTATGTAAATAAAGACCACAGCTCTTGCACGAGTGAATTGGTAACTTTGGCAGTAATTCTCTTGTCTCAAGCAATTTTTCCAGTGTGTTACATAGGTTTCCGAGATTTACTAAGAAAAAAACTTAACCAGTACATTTTCTCTCAAAGTTATTTGTCTTCAAAAGCCGTGTTCTATTTTAGGTGATGGTTGGGAAAATTCAGGGTGGAGGCTGATTCCAGCACTTAAACAAGTGTGTGTTTATCTTGGCTCGGTAGAAAGATTCATCTGTTAGAAGATAACATGCCCATCAGAACTGAACTCAATATGCTATTTAGGGAAAAGAAAAATGATTCCAAGAGGGCTGGCATTTTGTGTAGCCTGGGTAATCTGATAATATTTCCCTGCAAATCCCTCAGCCTGGAAGCTCTTTCTTGAATAAAGTTGAAAGCAGTAATCAATTTTCCCACGTTAATAAAGAGGGAAGAAAACGTCTCCTGCCTCTGAAAGACCTCTGCTCCTCTGAGGCAAGTAAATCCCTCTCCAGATCATCTCCTACTTAATCCTAGACTTTGGTTTCTGTCTTTCTAGATCCATCCTTTTTAACCTTCACACCTCACTTCCAAAAATGTAACTTGAAAAGCATTTCTTTGGCTCACTTTGGCATTTTACTCTTGCTAATTACACACACACACAAACCAGCCCCGTGTGTTATCTGTGGGGTTTCGTCTACACTCCTAGTTGATAATCTTGTGAGATGCTAGTTGGGGAGGGGGTGGAATTAGCAGATCGATCAAAGTTTGAAACTGGCAAGTCAGGCCCAATAGGGCTACAGCCCATAAACCTCATTCACATTTTTCTCTACAAGTGTCAGAAATTGACAAGTGGCCCGATTGACTGACTCACCAGCTGCCACCTCTCCCCCAACCCAAACACACTCATTCCTGAACTTTACAGTCTGAAAGAATGGAAATTGTTTCCAAATGTGCTGGAAACCTACATACTTGAATGATACCTGGGCTAAAACAAAAGGTGACAATTTCCTTTTTCTGGTAGTAAAGGCTTATCTTTCAAGAAATCCAAATAAGGATGATGTTTGCAGAGCCAATTGAGACTTGTTTTGAAGCAGTTTCCATTCTAAAAATCAGTATCAGTGTAACACTGAAAAGAAAGTCACCTCTCCAGAGATAAAGCTAAGTAATCTACATCACATCTTTCTCCGGCATAAACAATAATTTCTGCCCTTTCCATAACTTTCTCTAGCTTGACATAACTGAAAATCATTTTGTAAACCGTCTGTATTTTCAAAATAATGCAATGGTCCGTATGAATTCCTTTAATAAGATTAGTACAATTTTAAAATAGTATGTCACTGAATTTTTTATAGACTAGTGATTATAGAAATGAAATGGGCTTCATAAGGATTACAGTTTTATCACTATTATCAATTTAATTGAGATTAAACTAAGCCTCAAAGATCTTCTCAAAGAGAAGTTTGGTTATTTTTTCCCTTCATTTTAATGATTCAGCATACTTGGAAGCAAGTTTAGTCTATTGATTTACAGCAGTTACAGTCACGTTTTAGGTGAAGACTGACCCTCCACTCATCTTTCAAAATGATCAGCCTTTTCTTAATGTTAACTGCAAACCGGAATTGAGCGTTAGGACACTTCGGTTCCAGTCCTGGCTCTGCCACCAGCTAGCTGTGCCATCTTGAATGACTCACTCCCCCCACCCCGCCCAGGTCTCGGTTTCTCAATATGTAAAATGAGATGATCCCTAAGGACATTTCCAGCTCAGACAGCCTATATTTCGAAATACATGCAGTGGTTATGACAAGACCTGTCAACAGTTGCCATAGGAGGGCTCAAAGAAAGGACAGGGTCTGGCCAACTGGAAAACGGAAGAATTGGCAGCCATGGGCTTGCCATTCAGCCCCAAGAAGTGCCGTCCGCTGAGTGCCTCCACCTATCAGCACCTTAGGATCTGCTTCAGTCATGCTATTCATGGGCAGCCAATGACTGAGCATGACAGGAGTGTTAGGACCTGGCCATTACTGCCCAACATGGGACTCTATTGGGCAGTATTTGTTCCAGGGTTCCTGTTGAGCTGGCTGAGACTTTTATCAGATCTGCATCCTAGTCTGAGTCTCTTCCTCAATTCTGCTTCCTTCCCTTTTTTAAAAAAAATAAATTTATTTATTTTAGGCTGCATTGGGTCTTCGTTGGGTCTTTGTTGTTTTAGCCCAGGTATCATTCAAGTACATAGGCACAGGCTTTCTCTAGTTGTGGCGAGCAGGGCTACTCTTCGTTGTGGTGTGCGGGCTTCTCATTGCGGTGGCTTCTCTTGTTGTGGAGCATGGGCTCTAGGTACGCGGGCTTCAGTAGTTGCAGCACGCAGGCTCAGTAGTTGCGGCACGCAGGCTCTAGAGTGCAGGCTCAGTAGTTGTGGCGCACGGGCTTGGTTGCTCCACGGCATGTGGGATCTTCCAGGACCAGGGCTGGAACCCGTGTCCCCTGCATTGGCAGGAGGATTCTTAACCACTGCGCCACCAGGGAAGCCCTGCTTCCTTCCCTTTTTATCTTTTGCAGATGTTTTGCCCCAAGCCCCTATATACCTCTCACATCTTTAACTCTTTTTCGGAGCCTGCTTTCTGGACGACCCAGCTGACAATAGGGCAGTATTTTAAGAGCAAAGACAAAGAAATCTCAAGACTCGTTGAATAGATGACGATTAGACTAGTCTGACTGGAGTGGAGCATTTGGATTGATAAGCAGTTGAAAATCAAGCTGGAGAGGTAGATTGGGGTCAGATTAGTGAGGTTGATTGACACTCATGTGGACGTGGAGTTAAGGTTGGTGCCAGATTGGAGCCCCAGGTCAGCTCCATCTTCAATCAGCTACCTGGACCATCCGCCAGGCCAGCAAACGACTGTCTACGTAACAGGAGATGGCTACTTCTGCAGAGCCATGTGGTCTATATCAGTGCCTCTCGAGAGCCCCACTCGATGCGTTTTATCACCTGGGGAGCACGGTGAAAAATACTCCTCAGTTCTGCCCTAGACTTACTGAATCAGAGTCTCTGGGGATGAGACACCCCCATTCTCCTAGCTTCCCCCATCTCCTCCCCGCCCCACACCCCACCATTACTTTTGGGTGTAAACAAGTGTACCCGTTTCCTATTGCTGCTGTAGCAAATTACTACAAATTTAGTGGCTTAAGACAACACTCATTGGTTCTCTTACAGTTCTGGAGATCAGAAGTCCTTCTACATGGGTTTCACTGGGCTGAAATCAAGGTGTCTGCGAGGCTGCATTCCTTCTGGAGGCTGTAGGGAAGGATCTGTCTCCTTACCCTTTGCAGTTTCCAGAGGCTGCCCACATTCCTCAGCCCATGGCCTCCTCCCTTCATCTTCAAAGCCAGCAATATTGCATCTCTTTGATCATTCTTTCATAGTCCCATCTTCTTCTGACTCTCTTCTTTTGCTTTCCTCTTCCATTTTTAAAGATCCTAGTGATTACACTGGGCCCCAGATAATCAGAATAATCCCCATGATTAGCAACCTTCCATCTGCACCCTTAGTTTCCTTTGCCACATAACAACATATTCACAGGTTCTGGGGACTAGGACAT